CTTATTTAAAGCGGTCCCCAGCCCGCAAACACAAATGCAAAATTTTTTTTTCGTTGCGCTGCTTCATAACCAGCAATACCTAAAAAAGAAATGCCGGTGTGCAGATTGGTTTTTGATTGCAATTCTCTCCACCCTTTCGTCATTATATTAGAACAATAAGAATTTGGCGACTCGGAATACCTTCGAATTAACACCATCTTATCAGCAACCACGCAAATAGACGAGTAATCTGTCATAATCCTAATTAGTTCTCGCTGGTATGTATGCAGGCATTTAAATGCAATGTCGTCAGTTAATATTTCAACAAATGAAAACTAATGACCTTAATGGGTTTTATGACTAAATTTTCATGTGCGCAATAATGTGAAAAACGAAATAATTTATTAAATACGGTGCGCTTTGATTTATTTGCCGAAACATGTAATTTAAGTGGAAAAACCCTTCGTCCAACACACCTTCCATTCACCAATCTACGGAAGCTCAATAATGAATTGAATTACTACAAACAAGTTCCACAGATTGCCTATTTAATCGCCATTTTGGCTGCTCGCGCTTTTTTCCGTTTCGTTTTTGTCGTTGTTGTTGTTCTTTTTTTGTTTCTCCATTCTCATTTCCTTCACTTTATATTGTAATTCGAATTCGTTTCGATTTCGTTCATTCATTCATATTAAAAATTCAATTCGGCTTGACGTTGCCATGCCGAATTAATAGTTTGTAAATTCGCACTCCTATCGCGCCGCTCATTGGTTCGATGAAGAGATCGTCAAAAAACAAGCGCATTTAAAGGAAGGTCAATTCAAACATGGGTCGGGCAGCAATCAAACTACATTATGAGATTAAGCCGACCCTCGTGGCCCATTACAATTTGTTACGGTCAATTCGCTGCGCTATTATATGTGTGACACCACGCGGGCTAGTAATTGGACACCAAGTGCTAATTACCGTTGCATACGGTACGCGCGTGCCGCCTCATCGGCTCATGCTCTTATCTGTCGTGTACATCTTCACGGCCAGGTGATGATATAATTAGAAGCACACAGCAATTTTTCCTGAGTTGGCTGTTATCTAATTGTGTAGTTGCGCAAATCGCTCATCCTCGATCCCCCCATCCAAAAGAGCATCGAATTGATGGCTTGTTTAACTTTTGGTTCCATTTGTCGATTTAAAATGCTTGAAAACTCGATTCTCGTGTCATGCGGCAATTTGACGACAATGCTAGACTCGTGCGACATCTACTAGAAATGCATAATAATGGTTTATTTGATAGTGGGGTGGACGCTCTATTTGATTCAGTGTGTTTATATCCAAACCACTTACATTTAGATTGCATTTGATGAGTTGTTTAGGAATTTATAGAGAATTTTGTTGTGATCCCTCGCTATTCATTCGCACTGCCCTTAACATGGTGGCGATTCGCCCCCCACGACCTCATTGTCGATAAGGGAGAATCACGCAAGGTGCTAAACGACTTGGCACATTAGCATGCTCCGCAATGCAATGTTGCCACAGGCATCCGCTCAGTTACCTTAGATGTAATTGCGAGCAATTTGATGCCTTCGACAATTGCATTTATGTATACACGTTTTGCGACCCACAATTCGAGCACCTGATTTCCGGGGCCGATAGGTGGATAATTGAGGAGTAGTAGGCGCCGAGCATTTTAGAGTGGTGCAGTGAGGGAGAACTCGGAACGATTTAGGCCCGCCGGGCACTCCGCCATGCTCGTTGTTTCATATTTGGTCAAAATGTGCCGTGTGAGCCGCTTTTTAGATGAATATATATTGGACATGGAAAATGCGGGAGAAGACAATTGCGGGAAGACACCAAAATTGACGATGATTTGTAATGCATAAGAAATATGTATGTCCTCGCGCGCAAAATTGCCAGTGTGCACATCTATTTTCATTATTAGCGAGTTTCGAGCTTGTTACTCCTACAGTAATCCTCCAAAACGCCCTTAAACTAATGCTAGACAAATTCAAGAATCAATTCTAAGATACTCGCCTCCTCTAATCGGATTTCAAGAGGTCTTTAAAATAGTTACAACGTCTAGAAATAGTAAATACATTCAACTATTATTGCGAAACTCATATCATAATGTCTGATGAACACCCCCTATCATAGTTCGGATTCTCTATTCCAAAAATCATTCAAGTGTAAGCCACATTTTCTTTCAACGTACTACTAACTAATCAGCATCGACTTTGTAGCAGATTTTCAAAACTCTAACACCTTCAAACCCTCACATATGTATCAGAGGCAATTCATTTTAACTCGAAACTTTTATGAAACTTTCGAAATGCATTTTTCAATTTGAACAAGTAATGTTAAATAATAGGTTTTGAGAATTTCGACATCCCCCCATCACAGCGATTTAAGCAATAGTTGTTCAAATCTGTCTAGATAATCACTAATAATTCACAAATGACCATGCAAATAAGTTAATATAGATAATCAGCGCTTATATCTTTATGCTCACCCTATGAATTGTTCCACGCTTTGTAAATTGTTTTTCCTAAACAAAATCATGCAAATTTTGTCTGCTCAACGCTCATTTCCGTCATTCCTCTCGCTATACAGGTGCTAACTCCGTATTGTTTATCATCATGTCAATCAGAGCAATCGACATGTATGGTCACTATTGGATTACAGTACACTTGAGAAATAGAGGGTTATAAAATATCCTAAGTGTTTTATGACTTTCCGGTTCAACCCCAGACAAACATACATATACATTTGTATATGTTTGATTATTCGTGTCGGTATCTCATATATATATATTAGAATTTGAGATAAGCTGGGTATACGCACACTATGTTGCGTCATCTTCCACAATTTTGGTGTCAATTTGATAACAAGTTTGGCTTCACGCTGACTATTCCACCAGACGCGCATCTACTCGGACGCCGTTCGGTTCCGGTACGGTCATCGTCGGCAGAATGTGTTTGATGTATTCAATTAGTGTAGCAAAGTTCGACTCATTTCCGCAATTAACGCGCACACCTTTTCATTATTGTCCACAGCAGCTTGATTTCTTCGCGAATTGTTGCTATTAGATATTAATTAGGGACACCATGCTGAATAATAATTTCTATTCTTCTCTAGTAAATATTTGATGAGCTATGCCTGGCGGCGATTTAATGCGTTTTCACGTTGGTGGGCGAATAGCTATTGAAGAAATTCTCAAGAAGCTTAATAATTTTTATTTCATTAAAAAAATCATTTTAATTCATTCTTCGAATAACCTTATGTACCGTAATCGGATTTCCGGCCGATTGTTGAGTTTGCACATATCGAATGATAGTGTAATAACTGTCGATGACCATGTAATACATGAATTGCCATTTAAAGTATCATATGTCGATGGGGCACTTGGTGTTATCCGGAAGCAGTAGTAGTATGAGGAGCGAGAGACCAAGAAAAACATGGAGGTGTTGGTCCAATACTACGGTGGGCATGCCGAAAAATGTGGGCGTGGCCGAGGTGCGCAAGCGGAAACGTGCCGCGACCGACAATTCACACCACTGTCCACCAATTCTCATTATTCCCCTCTAATTTGTTAATAACCTTAGTTAAACATTGTCTGAAAAACGTTTCTACCAATTTTTCTACCAATTTATTTTCAACTAATCAACTGCGTTGACCCTTCAAATTTCTAATGCTTCTAGGAAAGTTCGTCAGTGCGCAAGCGCTAATCCGAATTATATCAAATGTGTTAACTCAATTAACTGCATTTATTTAAAATTGCACGATTTTCTCACTTTTACAGCGATTTTTATATGATTTCCGCGGCTTGTTGCGATGATGACGTGAATTCGCTTCTCGAAATTAGTTATTTCATTTTGAAATTTTAGCCTTCATTCATTGGAACGCCTCTCTTATTACTTATATCTGAAATTTACCACCACATAGATTATAGCTGACCATTTTGCATATAAGCAGGTGAAAACATGTGCATATATTTAATTAAAAATGGAAACATTGAAAATCCGTTAATTACGTGGTTATTACACGACGCCGCATGTAGGCATATAAGTATTCATTTTGCGACGCATTTGTCTCGAAAATACTAGCTAGGCGATGAAGATTTAGTAATGAACCTATTTATGATGCTCATTTTCCGAAAAAGGTACAACCAAATCGACGTTTGATAATTGTCTCGAGGTTCTCAATAATAAATAAGCGAATTATGCCAATTTGTGTTTTGTTCAACTTCCCCGCTAACACGAGCGGCCCATTTGAATAAATAAAACGTTGGCATGTACGAATTATTTGATACGCCTTCAATTCCGATCGCCTTTTTCATTCTTCATTTATTTTTTTTCTTGTTCATTCACATTCTCAAATTATTATATTCCCAAATAGCACGCAAATATGTAAATAAAGATCGTTTTCACACCTTTCGTGTGGCACTAATAATTTCATTAGTTAAAAATGAGTAATTTGATATGTTGATGTGAAATGACTATTTGCTGAAAGTGCCTTTTTTGGCCAACAAACGCATTAACTAATTAAATCGCCAATCTCCTTTTCACTTATTAATTGTCCCTTAAATGTGGATGCATCGGATTTCTGCACTTGACAATATTAGTGACAAAACACTCACAACATGTTAATCATCTTTAAATTCTATATTAGGAATCCCACAAGTTAACATTACATCGCATCATCTCGTTTTGAGCATTTGAATATTATCTGATAAGCTATTCGCAGTAGTAATCGGATATATCGTCTAATACAGCTCTCCCAACTTTCCAACTTGTACTCATGTTTAATTAACACTCACCGTCTATTTATTACAATTTTTCTCACGTTCGTCATGTTTTTTGAACGCGCTAAATAATGCTAGTAGGTTAAATTATTATTTTTTTTCAGGAACTCCGAGTTTCCCCCTTCCCCAAATTTATTAGTCGAATCAGCGTGCACAAAGCCGACGAAGAACAATTGGAAGCATTTGCATGCCAGATTCAGTGCCGCATAATCAACGGTCGACAACGAGAATGAATGTTGCGTCAATGATCCGACCAAACGGAACCGATTTCACCGCTCTTCAGAAACACTTTTTTGATCAATTCCAGGTGGGGGACTATAAATTGCTGAAATTCTTAATAATGATGCATACAATTTTCAGACATTCCAGAACGGCTTCACCATCGCATCTCTCATCAAACACGAGAACAAGGAAGACGAGGAGAAGAAGAGCCCAATGGGTGGTACGTTTTCCAGCATTCTTGCAAACTAAAAGTTTGAAAATTTCTAGACGGAAATCTCCTTGACCCCACTTCGGCATCGGACAGCCGCGAAAACGGATCACCGTCGGATGGTACCAACAGCCCTGATGAGAATGGCAAACGAAAGCAGAGACGGTACCGCTGTCGAGCCCGATTGGCCAATATTATTTGAATTGCAGCTATCGCACCACATTCAGCGCGTTTCAGCTCGATGAGCTTGAGAAGGTGTTTGCTCGCACACACTACCCCGATGTGTTTACTAGGTAAGTAGCCTTGCCGGAATCAATTAAATATGAAATTTCGACGCGCTGAATTTGGAAACAGCTAGAGCACGCCATATGGCCGTCTCAATTACTAGAGATTTTTGAATATGATAAATGAATTACAAGGGCAGGTTAATTTGGAAAATTGCAATGTTTCGAAATGTTTGCCGTCATTGAATAGCGTCACAAACTTTTTTGTCCACCACTTCAATTTGTATATTAAATTGAATGTGCACAGATATCAAATGTCAAACATCGATGGGCAAATGGACTCTTTTGTGAGAGGAAACATTTTCGAAATTGCAAGCCCACTTAATTAATTATTATTTCCTTGCGATTTCTAGCAAATAGGCGACTAATCCAAAACAATGAGCAATTTGGAGAGCTCATGCCGAAAGGCCTAGCTCAAGACCGGAGACCGGTGCCGCGCAATTCAGAGCTAATTGAGCAGTGACAATTGGTGTACAACCACCCCCCCCTTTTTCCCGTCCCATTCATTCAATGGGTCGATTCAAGTGCTTAATTACAAACGTAACAATTTTCAGAGAGGAATTGGCGACACGAGTGCAGCTCACTGAGGCGAGAGTTCAAGTAAGTTGTTGGGGGATTTCGATTTTGGCAGAAAGTAATATAGGCATGATTCGAGCAGAATTCATTAGATTTTTCATTTTAAATTAGATGAATATGACGATGTTTAGTGACAAAATCAAAATGAAATCTCACGCACTCGCGAGAAACACGCGATGTTATCTAATTCAAATTTGAACACGCAACTCGATATTTTATGATCGTGGGGTTTAATCTTATAAAATCATGGAAGGTAGCCCTGGTTGCCACCATCATTGTTTCCTCCTCATCCGTCCAAAAAATCTGCTGCCACGCCTCATTAGCGTATCGAATTACTCGGCGGTGACATTAAATCCGATAATTGTTCGGCGTAAAGGTGGGGGCTCATTATTAATCAAATGAGTCGAATTGGGAGAGCAACTGAGTGAAAACAGGAAATCGGATCATTAATTAAAAGGGTTTTCAAATTCTCGATAGGGAAGTAGTTGAAGGTTTATCCCATTGAACATTTAGGGATTTCTGAAAACATGTTGTGAATGACTAATGGATAAAAAAAGATCTTTTAATAGATGTAATATGTAAAAGTTAACAGGGGTTAACTAAGAGCATAAAAATTTTAATAAATAATCGAATTAGAAAGTTCAATAAGTGCAAAACAGAAAATATCAGATTTGAATCATAATTAACTTTCATTTTAGGTATGGTTCCAAAACAGGCGCGCCAAATTCCGCAAGCAGGAGAGAAGTTCGTCGCACCATCCATATCAGAACGCGATGCCCATCCCACACAATAATGCTGAGCTTCCCTATTCGCTGCTTATGAATCAAGAGGCCCTCATTGCTGCAATTAACAACCAGGCTGCTGCTCAGATTGCTTTGAGTAAGACAAACCAAATTGATGCTCTAAATTACCTGTTATTTATTATAGCAGATCAAATGCTACTCCCCAACTCGGATCGTCGCTCGCAATCCCCAGCGGTTCCAGTGAGCTCGTCATCGCCGGTTACTGCAACTGCCACCACAACCCCAACGGCGTTCCCGACCAATGATGCGTTGAGCATGTTCTTCAGCTCTGTCAACCCGCAGCTTCTTTACATGCAACAATTGCAAAGAGCGATGGAGGTGTTCCGTTTGAGCTTGAGCACTTCGGCATCAATTGCCAACACAACATCGGCTGCCGGAGAATCGTCAGATAACGGTCCAGGAAATGGCGTGTCGTCAAGGCCGTCGTCGTCGTCTTCAGCTGCATTGGCTTCAGAGAGCCCGAACAACTTTGCGGATCTCAAGTCGCTCATCGCTCCTACCAAGTCGGAAAATTCTGAGAAGCCAGAATCGCCGAAATCGCAATAGATTAGTCGCAAATGTGATGAGTACCAAAAAACCAACAACTATGTGGTACAAAAACAAGCATTTATCCGAATGACATCGCCCATATTTAGAAATTTTTAAAAATCGTTTTTCCATTTGAAAATTCGCCAATCCTGATTGAAAAAACCTCATTCGTTGGCCATTTTTTGCTAGACTCCCATTTATTAATCTGCATATTGCACAGCTTTGTGACTACAATATGTTGCCTCAAAATGTTTATTTTTAACACATTTAGTGTCGTTTCCGAATACCGCCGGTGTTTGTTTCATATATTTTCTAAGCTTTACGATATTTCTGTTCAAGACCAGCAAAAAAGCCAAAATGTTTCCCTTTTCCGCATTTCTTCAATTTTTTTTAGTTTTGATTTTTTATTAAAATTTTCTGATCTCCATTGTTTGGAATGATTAGTTTATCAAAAATTACTATTTTTCGACCAGACGATCATTGAATCTCAATTGTCCATTGCTATTCGAAATTGTTCATGACTAGTTAGATTAACACCTTTTCTTAATATATATATATATTTTTTTAATAATTTATACCCCGACGCACTTTGAATTTTTAAGTGTTTTCTTTTTTTGCCGAATTTTTCAAATTTTGCAATTTTGTGTGTATTTTGTCTCTGGCTTCTTCTTCCTTTTCGTCTCGGATTTTGCGCAACAATACTTCTGTTGCAATTCTCTCCCCCCACAATTTCTGAATTTTGTCATTTGTATTGGTGTATATGAATTGCGCATGTTATTATTAATAAATATTATTAAAGCGGTCTCTCATTTTTCGAAAATCACTTTGTAGACAAAAATAAATTAATTTTGAGCCGGGATAAGAATGTGCGAAGGTGTAAAATAGCATCAAAAATCATATTTCGTGAATGACGCGATTCTGAATTTATTGTCGCGATATTACTCATCAAATCGAGCAATCTGAGGTGTTAAGAGGTTTTCAGACATTTCAATAAAGAATTTTCTAAAAGTATAAATGTATTACTTAGAAAATTTCAAGTTATATTTTTTGGCAACATTTGCCGATGCTATGGCGAAACCCGATCTAGTATCATACTCAATTCATATTTCAGAATTATGCAAAAATGACACTAAACTTCACAACGGATTTCAAGGAATAGAAATTGATCAGCTATCCAGATTTCTCTGGTAAAAAATCAAAACCATTCCCAATTGTTTTGTTTGTCAGCTTTACATATTTCCGTTATTCCACTTAAACATAATGTTTTCAAATAACATTTTGCAAAGCGCAAAAATAAGTTGAATGCTAATCTGCATCTTGGATATCAGATAATTGTGCATTTCTGAGAAAAAAGATAATATGTTCAAGAAAACAATGATTATGCATATGAACATAAACCTAAGTGTTTAGATCAGTGATCAATTAGAGATTAGCGAATTCAAATATATGGAAAATATATTATTTTTATAAACTGCGAAGAAAATTGAAATCTATTTGAATTAAATCTAAAGTAAATATTATTCCCATGTTGTTGGAAAAAATTTGTACTTTTTGTGTCTTAGAAATTTTTCCTGTCATTAAGGCAAGAAAATGATGTTAATATCGAAGGCCTAATCCAATCACACCATATTAGGCAATTATTTCAATTTATCACGTTACACTTACAATTATAGTAACTTCCGATTCCGAAGATGATTAAACGTGTTCAAAATAAAAATTTTCAAGCTAATGCTAATTCACTCGGAATTTAAAGGATATGAAAATCAAGAATAAAAATTGTTTCAATGCTCATAAAGGGATGTAAAATTCGAGTTCAAATTTGGGTTTGTCACCGACGAGATTTACAATAAATACCTATTTATATTTAAAGCAATTATGCGGGACGAGGTTTTAAGTAAACGAATGAAGTCGGTTTGTCAATTAAGTTGATAAAAAAATTCATTGAGGCTAGGGTACAACTTGAAAAAAATTTAAGTTTCTATATACTTTATTAATTAACAGACAAAATATATTATACTTCTGTATAATATATTTAACTGTGGAAAACGTAGGTAAAATAAAAAAAAATTCGATGTTGAAATTTGTTATTTGCAAAAATAACGAAAAATTGCATTTTCTGCAAATTCGTAAACGCATTATTAAATGATTTAATTTGGTATTTAGGGCAAATTGATCTCTTTAACAAAACCAATAAAGTGATTTTTTATTCCGTTGGCAATTTTGATTCATTCATAAATGTGTTTGTTTCTATTATTTATTTATCAATAATAATAATAATAAATAACGTTTGTAATTAAAAATTATCAGGAAATTTAAATTTATAGAATCTTTTTTTTTGGAGCTTTTTATCTCCTTTTAAAATATTAGAAAAATATTGATCTAAACAGGAAAAACCGTTCATTTATCATTCATGGGCACGCGAATACTAATATCCACCTAGATGATCCATATTTTTCAAATTCTATTATTATAACATTTTTTATTCATCGGCATTAAAACAATGGATTTTACTCCAACTCAATAGAATAGGTGAAGTGCTAAGAAAAGTTCAAAAAATTTTGAAAAACTTCTTTTTAATGATTAATTAAATTACTTCCCTTTAAAATTTGTGTCCATAGCATGTTGACGACAAAATGGATAAGTGGCAAATATATATATACATATATTATTTTTTAATTTATTAAATAAGTGTTTTCAAGCTACAGCAGTAATTCCATTAATTATTTTATCGGCATCGAAAATCGATGGATGAACACTACTACACAATAACAGAACGAGCCTCCTTGTTATACGCTAAAACCTAGGCACGTAAACGCGAAATATCGTACTAACCTATTTCGAATTTTCATCAGTTTGTCTCAATTTTCGGCGCGTAATAATGAATTACTCTACACTAGCCTTCTTTTTCGTCATATTTACATGTGGTAAATTCTGAAAACATTGTTGGTGCTAAAAGAAATGTATATATTTTCAGCATATTGTCGTCATATTGGTGAAATATTATGCAGACAATGCGGAGAGTTCATTACTCGCCAATCAGAGCTCATCAATGCCACCGGAGTCAACGAAAGTTTCCTCAAGTACAAGTATGATTTTCCTTTGGTTGGGAAAAACACAACTGTACACGTGTTGAAGAATCCGGCAGGTTGGTAAATGACCTTGAATCCATGTTTTATTGATTGAATTCAGGTCAATCGTTCCACGTCTTCGGTGCAAAAACAGCGCACTTGAAATTTCACGGACCGGTATTTTAAACATATAATGAACATATCCTTATAAATTTTTTAAGGCGCAAAGCGATGCAACATGGTTTCCTGGAATGCACTGGACGATCTGCGTCTGCAAGGCGTGCGGAAAACACATGGGATGGTAGGCTTTTTTCATTGCGCGGAATTGTTTTGAAAATCATATTTTAAGGTATTTCCAACCCGAATTATCGTCTAAGCGCAGTGACAAAAGGGAAAGCTTTGTCGGAATTGTTCTTGATAACGTCATATCGTCAGATTGTGAGTTTTTTTTTTCATTTCAAAACTCAATTTAGAGCCACCTGACCGACACTTGCATGAAGTTTTCCTCAGAATATCGTCATCATGCTCAATATTAAATAAAGAACTCAAAACTTACATCATTTTACAACGGGTGCTATGCCACAACAAACTTCCTGATTCTGATTTTTAGAACTCATTGAAAATTCATTGGAGTTTTTTTGTTCAATAGCTCAGTAAAAATAAGCTAGAATTAGTTATTTTTTTCAAACCATTCACATGAAAGTTTTCCGAGGGTAAAAGCGTAAAAATGACTTGTTCGTCTTCAAATTTGTGCGCATCCCAATTTTTGGTTTTTTTTTTCTAAGTTGTCAAATATGGAAATTATTAAGTAATCAAAACGATCATCTACTTAAGTATTTCATTGCTAAAAGCTTATTTTTGAAAGTTCTCAAATTTGTAAAAAAATCAGTGTGCAGGTTGATAAGTTTAAAAATGAAACTTTATATTCATCATTAGCGTTGAAATTGAAAAAATTATCATATTTTTTTATTAATAGAAATTTTTAACAAATGTTATGCGCTTTGTCTAGTGAATTTTCTGCATGATTTTAAACCGCGTGGGTGCTCACCGCGGAAATACTGTTTTTGGTTTAACTCACAAACAAAGATTGTCAAGAAAAAGAAAATTTGAGATCATAAAAATTTTAAAATTTTGGTAACATTTACCTGTTCTCACAGAAATAAAACAATTGTTGTAAGAAATGAATGCAATGCAGTTCATTGATCAGTTTTTTCGAACTATTCAAATTAAGTCAAATCGCTTGGCGAACCGTTACTGAATACATTCATACATACAGAAGCACAAATGACTCTTTTAATTGACGATTTTAATATTTCATGTTTTCTATTTCAGATACTGATGGGCTTGTAAAAACCCCGCTGTGATTACAATCGCTGATATATTCCTCGCCTTTTCTGTTTTTTATCAAAGCATATTGTTTTAACTTATTTGCTCTATTCTTGCACAATTCATATGGGTCGTTTTAAAATTGTCGGTCTCTACAATGAGAATTGCCTTTGTTCAATGTGATGTCAAGCCCATTTCTCGTAAAATAAAATGTGATTATTGGTTTTGTCAATTGTGAATTTTTGCATTTGCAGTGCACCATTTCTTCTTTTCTCCATAAAATGTCTTTCTGGAAAATTCATTAAAGTTTGTCAAGTTCAAAAATAAACGACTAAATTGAAACCTTTTACGGTGGAAGGAGCTGATTGTTTATTCATGAAATTAGCGGCTTCCCGCCCACAAGGCGGCAAAAAAGTCTGCAGATGCATTTCAGCAATCGCGCTCGTTTAAAGACCATCAATTTTAGAATGATTCGAATTCGACTCAAAGTTTAACCATAAAAATCGTGTAATTGCTCGACGTCGAGCATCATTATTCGCTTCATTTCATTTCCCAAAAAGGTCATAAAATGTGCGTAGGTGCACGATGAATACTTGGACATCGGTGGCAAATCAAAAATGGCGAAATGCATTTCACCATAACGTTTGCTTCCCTCCCACACAACGCATTCTATTGTTCGAGCTCGGTGCAGTGTGAATGAGATCATTTCAGATTGCCTCAATCCTCTAGGTCCCGCCTACCGAGCTTTTCATTTTTTTGGCATTTAGATAAACAATGAGCTCTATGGCCAAGTGTATCGCTGTTCTCTTCGCGATCATCCTGTTTGCAAATGCTATTCCGCTGGTTGACCGACAAACAGAATCGTTTACACCAATGCATAAGCGTCTCTCCAATGCGGCTCTTATTCGTCTGATCATGAGGTTTGTTGAAAGAATAATCAAAATCTGATTCAGAAAAAATTTTTCAGAAATCGTGAAGCCGAGCTTGCACAGAATCTCAAACGTGATGCGAAACGTGCTGATTTGGAGCGTCGAAGCCTTGACGATGACTTCTCCAACTGCTTCCTCTCACCCGTTCAGTGCATGTTGCCGTCATCCCGAAAGTAAACGACTTGTCAAGATAATAATACACCAATTCGCTGTCATTATTATCAATTTGAATCTATCTGGTGGAATATAGTAAATTTGCATTGTGTTTGTTATGTTACGTTCGAATATGCAAAAAACAGCGCAGAGTCGATCGAAAGCCGATAGATCTCACATCAATCTTAATCGCTTGATTTATGTCGATGAAATCGGGCGAGATTAATGAACTGCTTTTTTTTGTCTGGATTCTTAATTCAACATCGTTCTGGATTCAAGCAATGCTGTTTTTTCATAAATTTCTAAAACCGAATTGTAGAATTCACGCGAAAAAAGAGCACCTATTGAAAATTACAAATTACGAGACGAGTTTGATTATCCATTATATTACCACTGTTAAGTAAAATTTAGAATTATCGCGCTGAAAATGTAATCTGGTTTGAAAATCCAGCGTTTTCTTTATTCTTTTTTGAGATGCTATTACTAAACGTGGCTTCGTGAGTTCTGTAATAAATATAAGAAGTTTGACTTTAAGAGAAGAATCATGTCGTTACATATCCGTTAAACATAACACAACTTCCAGAATGTAAAAATAATTTTTTATTTATTTCCCGAATTGGGGGAACCCCTTGTCCCCAATTCTTTAATATTTCACTTAGAACAAAAATCTCTTCCTGGTATCAAATATATTCGATTAAGCATGACGAATTTGACATCATTGGCATGGCGTAGCAACTTGATTTTAATCATTCCAGGACTATGTGCTGAGAACGAAATGTTACATTTCCAGTTTATCTGTCAGATTCTTGATGCCTTCAATACAAAGATCAAATCTTATCTCACCATATAAAAAATTTCCTGAAAATCCTGTTTTTTTTTCATTGTCTCACTCACTGCAGTTTATTACATCAAACATATTTTTCTAATTTTATTGACAACATGAAAAAATTTGATGGTTATTGCCCTAATGTCGTTATTTCAATATAACACTATGGTATGAAACCCTTATGAATTACGTGAAAACACAAATTTAAAGGAGCATATCCCAGTTTTCAAATACAAATACTTTGAGATGTAGACATAGATTGTCTATTTCTGCATACTTTCAGTAAGCAAAGAAAACAAAGGGTGTTTAATAGAGCTAACAATACTAGAAAAATAAAATGCAGTCATGAATAAAATTTTTGATTCTTTGACGAGAGATTAATAGATTCGACAAAAAAATGTAGTGGAGGTTTTTAAAACATTGTTATTTAACACAGATGATATTGTGTTTTTTTTCGCAGCCATACAGATTTTCAAAAATTTAAATTGTTTTAACTTTCGAATTCGGATGGTTTTTTCCTAGCATAAAACTTGATGAGAATTGAGGATTATGTTATTTGAACTGTGCTAACTTATATTATTTTTAGAAAACAATTACAAAATTTCTTCATAAAACATTATTTATTTTTTTATCACACCAGCAAGTTGACAACGTATTTAATTGAATGATTATTATTTGTACATAGTAAGAAGAAAATAAATTATATCTAAGCATATAAATTAGGCCCGTTATGAAATAATGAAACTATTTTCGAATTGGTACGATTAACTGAATAATTTCCTTTGTAAGCATGGTTCCACTTGGAAGCTCAATCTGAAAAAATATTATTTTATGAATTTCTACCATTTTTCAAACAGGTATCTACCTTGTTATGGAACAAGTTTCCAAATAATTCAGAAATTTTTGTGCGGAACAAGTTCGCCGCCTGAAATTTGTTTCGATTAACAACATTTCCCGTATAATTATTACCCAGAAGTAGGTTGTCTGAATAGTAGACTGTTTCAAGTCACTGTAACATGAAGCTAACATGTCGTTCACAATAATTCTTCCATTTGAAGTTAATGGAGAATAAATTCCTTTGCGTTCAGTTATAGTGATTTCTTGAATTTTCTGCTGCCTGTATCGTCCCTATAAATTATTTTGCAATTTCAGCTTCTCTTAGACATTTATTTACCTTATACATCACAATTACGCAATCGTTAACCTCTAATGTTGATGCAAACACTGCCTCGCTTTCTGCTGGGAGGAGTTTAATGTATTCTTGATAGTTCTCTGTAGCAATGCATATTTGAATTAATTTCAAATTAGGCAACATACTTCCACATTTATTTCTGTACATGTAATGACGCGAAGTCAAACGAAGCATTTTTCCGTACTCGGTCATAATAGTGACGAACTTTTCGACGGTTTCGGGTTCTCGATGAATCCAAAGAGTGATCGGTGTAAAATATGTCTTAAATATGTAATATGAACAAATTTGAGATAGGGCATATTCATACTGAGTTATGGTTTGCAGTAAGTACATAATCGCCGATATCAATCTGATCCATTCGCTTCTTCCCTTGAGGAGTTGTAACCCATGTATCAACCGAGAAACATGCTCCAGCTCCGGCACCAGCTCCAGCACCAGCTCCAGCACCAGCTGCTGCTGCTGCGGCTGCCTGGCTCTGTGCTGCTGCTGCTGCTGCTGCTGCAGCTGCTTGACTTTGTGCTGCAGCGGCGGCGGCAGCCTGTAACAAATACCGATGAAAAAATTATATCCAATTCGTCATTACCGCTGCGTTACCGCCTCCACCAAATCCGAATGCATTAGCCGCGGCGGCAGCGGCAGCACCGTTTCCAGCACCACCACCAGCCCCGTTTCCAGCGCCGCCTCCAGCACTTCCCGCAGCTCCAGCTCCGTTTCCAGCGCCACCTCCAGCGCTTCCCGCAGCTCCAGCTCCGTTTCCAGCGCCGCCTCCAGCACTTCCTGCTGCTCCACCTCCGGATCCAGAACCTCCGCCTCCGCTAGCAGCAGCACCACTTCCACCGCCACCGCCGCCGCCATTACCTCTGCCGCCACCAGCGCCTCCACTTCCGCCGCCACCACCACCAGCATTTCCTCCACCACCGCCGCCACCAGCGCCTCCTCCATTTCCTCCACCACCTCCACCGGCGCCACTCGCGCCAGTAGGACCCCCGAGAGTAGGATCATTAGGCTAAAATATATAATTATGTTGTTAAACACCTGCTCAACTTACAATATCTAAGAAGTCAGTAGCAGGTGGTGGTTTCGAACTTGATTGGTATGAGAGAGCGGAATATCCATTTGAGTCAATTTTGCATGATCTTTGGTTAAATTTATTGGTACCCCATGTGAAATCAGCTTCTGCGACAACAGACTCAAATGTTGTTCCGAATCTTTTTTGGATTGAACGGGTCATAAGCTGAAAATCCATTGAATTTACGAAATCGGTAATCATTTACTTTTGCTAGATTTCGTGTGTTATGCTTATCGAAGTCCGGAGCTTGTTTAGCCTGATCGATAACTTTGTTTGCTTCATATTGCAATCCTCCGTCACAACAAGCGATTCCATCAAGCCCACTTAACTCAGCAGGGCAATGAAAAGGCTTCGCGCTCCCAATATCATTATAAGGGCTTGAATGAATTGGATACTGAAAAATGCTTAAAGTTTTAATTTTCAACTATAACTAGTTTTACTGGAGTAGGTCCAATTTGCCTTTTGAATCTTCCGAAAGCCACCGGATTCTGTTGAAGCATCGGATTGTGGAACATTGGTTGATAAACATGGGGGTACATAGGCTGTGGATTCGCAGAAAAGTATGAAACGGTTGTCTGAGGAGCAGCAGTTTGCTGCTGATTAAACCCTTGACGAGTTTCGATGTTTTCTTGAAGAACTGGCTGCACAATATTTGCCTCAGGTTCACTTGGAATAATTGAGACATCATTCTCATCATATTCATAATCAGTATCGCCTTCTGGAGTTGTATATGCGAGAACATAATACTTATCAACACGATATTTGCAAGTGTACTCATTAGTGTTGTGGGTCGCGTAGGTGAAATCATCGAGCGACACAATAACCTCTGCGGAATGTTGCAAAACTTCCTCGACGTTCCATTGGATTTCCTTCAAAACGAAAATTTATTATATGAAGGAATTGCGCTCTGACCTTGGTAATTTCTCGCAAATCGTACGGGTCAAATTTTGCAGAGTTTATCACCTTTTCGTATCCAGTTTTCATGGCATTGAATAAAATGAGATTACAACAACGAGATCCTAGTTTGTTCGTATATTCAACAATTTATTTCTAAAAGACATACCGGTTCGTGATTCTGAGCAGTGTGATCCGACGGGATAACCAGCTCGAGGACCACTGAATTCAAGTTTCAGCGGTACGTGCCATGGAGCCTCATTTGCGAAGGATGGTTTTGAGGATCCTAAGGGATCAGGATCAGAAGTCTCCGAAAGTTCCTTTTCATGTTCAGAGTCTTCAATGTCGTACTAAATACCCAATTTAATGAATTTTGAAAATTATTGTTCTTTTACTTGACGCGGTGTAGCATATGCGAGAATGTAAAAACCTCGATTCTCAAATTTGCAGATATTGTCTCCATTCATATAAGAGGAAAGAACAAAATCTGAGCGAGACACAATCACTTCAAAAGATTTTTTGAATCGAAGCTGAACTTTTTGTTGAAGCTCCTAGAAATGCTTATACATTGCAAATACAAATTTCACCCAAACCGAAGCAATAATTCCCTCTTTCCCAATTCCAAATTCGGCGGACGTCGCCATTTGTCTCATTGCATCACGCATCGTCGAAGCAAGTCGTCCATCGCAACACCTATTTCCTATAATTTCCGACGAATAATAACAGATCGTCATTTTGTGAGCTTGGATCGGTTATCATATTAACCCTAATTGATGCACTTTCATCACCTATTGTGATTAAACGAGAACCTCCAGCACTTTTTTGTTTGCTTGTCGTTTCGCGATCTTTGCAAATCACTAACCGTCTTTACGCTTTTTGTCGCAGTGAGTATTCTCCGGAAGCCGGTCTTTCTCTCGAAGATTTGCGAAGCTCTGGAATAGGTTTTGGGTTCGGTGCAATCACTTCCGTGACGTTAAACATTTCCGTTGAGTTTGTTTCTGAGCTAAGAACTGAGATCTCTGTTACTGGATTCAAGAAGTCATCCATTGAGGATTGCTCTTCGGCCATCAAAAACGCTGCTTTCGACATTTCCTCGTCTGAAACGTTTATCGAATTGAAACTGTGTCAAATTGCTTAATTTATTCCATTCTCCGGATATGAGGATAATCAAATTAAAGGGCAATCCCGTTAATTTGATCAATTTTTTGGCGATGATTTTTTTTTTTCGCGTCTCTTATCGCCGATAAGATCAAAATTCAAACAAAGGACATAAATTAGAAAACATTGAGAATTCCTACTTGATCATAGTTCTAAAGATGAGATGCCACTATTGAAACAATCATCTCCGGAACGCATCACTAAGTAAGGAGATCAGGATCAAATCTAGTTGATAACGGAATTACATCTCCGACAATGTCTATCTTTTAAAAAGTATTTCGAAACCAGATCCTTTCTTTTTTATCTTTTCTTGTCATTGTCACAATCGTGTTTCAACGTGCATGCGAAAATTGTGTCGTGGGAAAGTCTCCCTTTCATTTTTTTTCGTTTAACAACGACTTTAGTTTTCTCTCCCTCGCTCATTTTGAAATCGTTGATTCGCTTCACACGCGAACCTGGATCGACTTCAGCAAATTTGTTCGGGAATGAGAGAATCGCGTCGATTGGCGGCTGCACTGATAAGTCTTCGCCTGCTGTCGAGTCTTCGCGAACGTCGGGAAAATCGCCGCGTAAATTTGCCGGTTTTTCCGAGCCCAAAGGATCTCCAGAATCAATTGTTGACAAGTAGTCTTCTTTAGGCATGTCAAAGGGATCATACTAAACATAGAACTCAATGGTTGAAAATAAAGATATAGAAAAAAACCTGTCTTGGAGTCTCATAGATCAGAAATATATGTTTGTGATCCATTATTTTACAAGAATGAGATCCATGATAATGTCTCGAAATAGCAAAATTTCGCTTTGATACGATCACTTCGAAAGATTTCTTGAATCTCAAATGTGCTCGTCTTTGAATGAACTAAAAATTTATTGTTTCACTTTGTAACCCTTTTCGGTTTATTAGAATAGAAATGAACGATTTAATAAGTATTACTAATATTTTTTTACCTTAGCTGCATCTCCAAGTTTTGGTGTATTTATTCCGATCCGAACCGCTTCTCGAAGAACGCTGTTCAATTGGCTGTCACAACATTCGATAGACAAACTTTGATATGGAAGTTTCCAACCTAAACTCAAACATTAACGAATTGAACTGAAAATATGTAAATTACCTGCAGTTTGGTTCCAAATACAAAACAAATCGGATTTGTCATCAGTCGTGTATCCATCGGTTTTGACTTTCAACTTTTTTGAGATTCCTATAGATAATATGGCGCAAAATAAAAACAATCCTTTACGCATTGTTGCAGTTGTGAATGAGCGGATCGTAAAGACGACTAGTATCTGGACATCAATCGACCGATTAAAATTATTTGAGAGGACGCTTTAATCACTGCGATGTGAAAACAATTGAAATGTAGCTAGCGGCGAATGTCGCTAATTCAATCTTTATCTTCGTCGCCGTATATTTCTTATCATAAACAGCCCCTGTAGGCGGGACGCCGGCTTCTTCTCGCTTCCAACCCGCCCGTTTGGGTTGTTTTGTGATATATGTTTTGTGGCAAATGTGTTCCAAAACACTTTATTCAGCTTATCCATACACATAAAAAGTAAAAACAAAATAAAGAAGTAGAAGAATACATTCGTTTTAATGTTCGGATGATAATGCAATGGTGAAAAATACTGAAACTCCAGTAGCGAAAAATGACAATGCGATAGATGCGAGTTCCAGAAATGGAGAAAAACCAATCTGAAAGTAATACAATTCTCGACAATAATTACCCATTTTCGGCCATTTGGCTACTATATCGTGTTTTTTAGATTGATAAAATGACTTGAGTATTAGTTTTTAAAAATATATTCTTATGATTTCACATATCTTAAAACTAGATTTTTTTTAAATTTCATCTGACTTCTACAATTAGATCAAACGCATTATCTCCTCCTCATATGAAACACGAAAAATCACTACATCGATCATTTACTTAATAACATTTTTGGTGTTTTTAATCAAAGCCAATTTTGGAATTATAATTGATAAAATAATTTTCTTGAAATAAATGGTTTTGAATAGTTTAGATCCGGAAAATATCAAAAATTTGGTTAATCTTGATAATTATATATAGTTAGACATATATAGTTTCAGCCGGGTCTAACTATGTTTTTGTAGGCTGACCACAAATGTATATTAATTGCAGAAACTTACTGAGACATCTAACAAACTAATATCAATTGGATTTTCGAAATAATCATAGACATCGAGGTATTGATAATTGGCCACAAAAATTATGAAAGCAATTGCTCCTAGAATTCCAATTAGAGCAGAAACTGCAGCAATTGCCATGAGAATGACTCTGAGAAATTTAGTATCACCCCGAGCCGAAGACAACCTATAAAATTTGAAGCTTATAAAACTATTAAAAAGTCTGAATCTTACAGAATTCCGATGACACAAATTATAATAGCAATGATCTCAAAAGTAAAATTGATGTACATAAAGATGCATGTTGCTTTGATCCAACCAGGATCCATCTAGAAATTATCTTTTTCGGACTGACCTTGCCGCATTATTTAATTTACCTCGTTATACGGTACGAGACCAAGCCAATAGATGGAATAATCAATGAAAACAGTGATTACAGCCCAATCTACAAGTAAAATGTGGTGAACGGTTCATATTCAAAAGTACCCATTACGGTTTGTAAACAGAGCGATACCAGTGAATAATGCACTTAATAAAGTGGCTCCAGTGATTGCGAAAAGCGGAATATACATTGAGATGTTGCGTCCGGCAGGTTCTAAAAAAGGAGTGTGAAATATTACCTTGGGTAAGGTGTCAAGTAAACATTGAAACATTTATTGTGGCATTTATCATTTCTGAATCACTATAAAAACTGTCTGAATACAATGTGCCGAATATTTGTTGATTGTTAAATGCACAAAAATGTTAACGGTCAATGTATGGTGAAATTTGTTGCCAAAGATTACATAAAAATTTCAGTTTCCGACCGAAAATTTTTCAGCTTGTGAAGATATCAAAACTATTTTTGTGTTCAAAAATGAATAGTTTCGACAGAGATGCCCAAAAATAGTAATAAGTATTCGTATTGTTGTGTAACACTTTGTGATGAATTTTCGGGAAATAGAACACAAATAGTTTCGGCATTGTCTAGGTATATATTATTAAAAAAGGAAATCAGAAAATTTTTGAAATCGATCATTTGTTAAAAGTATCAATAATATTTGAAAATTATCTGAAAAAAAGTTGAAAAAAAATCTTTAAATATATGCATTTCACAAATGAGTCGTATGCGTATTTTGAAAGAAATTGAATAATTATTACCATCATATCAAAAACAAAACATGCATTGAGTAATTGCGGACCGTGAATTTTGCGCTGTGGTTATTCAAATTTTTAAGCAGGGACAACTCGGGTACCGTTATTTACCTAGTCATTAAATAAAGTAAGTTGATATATTTTCATGTTTTAAATTCAAACTCACCCTACGTCAGCTTTTATTTTTTGCGACTGTAACGTATCATTTAATTTTTCGAGCATCTACTAAATGCTTATTTCATAATATTATGACCAATTCCTATAAAATGTTAGAATATTGGCAATTGACGAATATAGAAAAATGGGGATAGAATATGTTAAAAATATACACTACGTATATGTGTTCAGGTTGGCTCTTGTGGACAAGTGTTCGATTATTTTATTCTTTCCCTCGTCCAATCGATATTCGTTTTAAGCATGTAATACTCTGAGTAATTTTAAAGTCTTCGTTAGAGACCAGGTTTCTAACCTTTTTGCTGTGGTATATGCAGGAACATCGGTTCGGTCAAAAAAATTTGCTCGAGTTCTTGGACCACTGCGGGTGTCCAGCACTTGCTCGATCGACATGAATGCAGCCAATCCTGCTCATATTTTTTATTTAATTAATTTTATTGAGTTCTAAAGCGGTTTTCTCAAACTTTTAAACATTTAATGCCACAAATGGACAATTCCAGGTTACTCTGAATCAAAGTTTGGAGGAGAAACTTTAAAAATTCCAAAAATGATTGTAAAAGAGCAAAATGGGTTGTTTTTCAATGTCAAAATATCAAAGACAAACTGAATTAACCGAATTTTTGCAAACAGGTTTTCATTTTCAAAATGTGAAAGATTATTTGTCAACTGAGGCATTTCTCTTAATAACTAAAATTAATTTCATTCTCTGAAAATCCCTTACACTATTGTTTTCAATGCCGTTAGGAGGTGTGTGAAACCCATACTTATAAGTGTAATCAATCACAATTCCTGTTCACCTCACCCTCGCATCATTCACATTTATTTGTCACATCATGGTTTCCAATGTTTTCTATATAATCTGTTTCACTTGTCTCGCATTTGTCTCACCGCAGAGGCCATATTACCCAAATCATTGGTATGGAGCAAATCAGGTAAATTTTCTTGAACTGATGACTCTTTGATAAGAATCCTTACAGGGAAATATTCATAGTGGGGTTGTACCTGAATACAATCCAGTTCCAAATACCAATATAGGCACTTTGGCACCACATGTTTGCGGCTTCAACACATTCACGAGGTAAACGCTAAAAATTGTCGCCTTAAATCATGGACAAGGGTGTTCAGGAAATGTATGGATCCGGAGGGTTACTGCCCTGGCACTTGCATGAACTTCCGATATACATACAACACACTCTACGACTGTCGTTGTTTGGTTATTAAAAAATGAGTACAATGGTCAGATATCGAAATAAATTATTTTGCGGGAGCCTCGAGTTTATCATTGCGTTGTCACATGATATCGTTTTATCTTTCAAATGTTGGCACATGCCAAGATTTGCGTATTCGATTCGCATGTCTGGTGTAATATCTTGTCTATACGTTTCCGGTCCGGTCAAGAATACGTCTGACATTTTTGAGATTGTAAAGAAAATATATAATGCAATTTGATTCTGTTAAAAAACTCAAGAAACTGGAAGATCAAAATAAGTTGCCAACATGAGTCACCGAGACATGCTTCTTTTTTTACACTATCTCGAACTTTGATATTGTCTTCAACTTCATTTTTCCCGAGAAAATCGAACAAAAACTTATTATTAAAACATGAGAGATATGATTTGCACGTTTGCTGTGTGGAACACAAAGTCCTATTCGTCTCAAAGGTTTTGTTTCACCTTCAAACTCTTTGATTTTTTTATCGCCTCGCCTCCATAGCCAAGACACAAGAAGCATATACTCGAAAAAGCCGCGGCCACTGACCATGTGACATATATCATTAGCCGTGTTACACACATCCGCTGCGATAAATAATTATGAAAAACGGTTGGTGATCCCGAGCAGCGTGCCAACTGAATGATTGATGTCTTGAAATATCCAAGTCGCAATAAGAGATCGAATTTTTTAATGCGTATAATTTCTGAATAAATGGAAATTTCTAAGAAGTGGGGAATTAAATTTGTGAAACAATGGAGTAGATAGAAGGTTACTATGCCAATCGATGATGTCTAGGAAACGAGTTGTGCTCAAAGTAATGTATCTAGTGTGCTTTGTTTAGTTAGTTCAAAAGTTTAATACATTCCTATTACAAATCATCCCGCCGTATAAATTACTGTCAAAATATGCATAATGTTATAGCGCTGCGCATTAAATCAATCATTCCGATGAGAAAGTCAAAAGTCAGTAAAACAAAATTTCTAGATTGATGGGCGTTCATTCTCTTTTCAGCAATATAATGCCAAATCTCAAAGAGAAAGTTGAAAGTTTTCGATACTTTGGAGAAATAGAAACATGCAAAGAATATTTGCTCCTATTTAAGTTTTGAAAATTAGTAATAATAGAATCAAATTTTATTGATTTTTGAATAGTCATGATAAATCGTATCTAATTTTCTGTTACATGCTCAAAATTAAAAAAAAAAGAGTGTTATCGTAATATTAAATCAAACATTTTCCAATATCCTCTTTTTGCTTTTTTATATTAAATTTAATAAATTCTACAACTCGCTGGATATGAATTGATTCGGTATTCTACTATTACCAATTCTTCATTTTATTTCTTCTTGAACTTCAAATTGTGATTCTTAGTTTAAATATTTCATGTAGTTCTTCTCGTCAATCTTCACATTCTTGTTCAGCTTCCTCAGAAACCTCAATCTTTTTCATTTTCTCGACTCCGCCCCATTTTTCGTCAGTCACCATTGTGCGAGCGCGTCGTGCGAACGAGTGCCTGATCAGATTCACGAACTAGCGGCGAAGCATGCAGGCTACTGTGAGACTCGTGCTGCTCGCAGCACTTGCCTGCTGCACCAGTGCAGGTAATTTCATTCATAATTAGTGTAATTAATTAGCCATGTGTAAACCGAGTGATTTCTCAACATAAAATCAGCAGCATTCTCGAAACCCGCTAAAGGTTTTTCTACAGTCATTTGATTGGATGTTGTAACATTGCAACAATGCCATTTTTCAATCTTCCCTTTTGTACAGCAAAATGAAAACTTGATTGTTTTCAGCTCGCATCTCAATCTCCCGTGGTAAAAATGTAACGAAAATTGAGGATCTTTGCGCTAGAATGCACAATAACACAGCTCTCGGTATGTTTTTTTGTTAGTATCGTTTTGAGTGATTATTTGATAGCCCAATTCAATGTCAAATTTCTTTAATTCGAAATTTTCATTATAGAAGGAGAATCGCCATTGTTGATGTTGCAAGCAACCGCATCCGAGTGCCAGAAGAAATGTGTCGACATGTTCCCGGAATGCTCGGCAGGTTTGTCGAGTTTTGCAACCTTTTGATTGATGCTTCAAGCAATATCTATAACAAATGGCATTTCTTCCAAAAACTCATCTTTTTTCTCCTCAATCCGTTTGACTGATCGGTTTCGCACATTTACACTGTTGCATTTTGTTTCGTTTTTCGTGTGCAACCCGAATCCGACCAAGTGCGATCGACCGACCGACACATGAGATATGATGAGCTTCAGAGAAGTGTCGTCTACGTCAGAGATTTTCACTGAAATTTGATAGCAATATTCTGAATTGAAGACTTAACGACATTTTCCGATTTTCAGTGGTATACTACTATTTGCATAATGAAACCGAGAAACATTATTGCTATTTGTTCGAAAAAAACTCGGTTCACGAGAAGGTTGAACTGGTTGAGCAGAAGCCGGAACACAATAAAGATAGAGTGAAGATGCTCGAGCTTGTTCTTAACTGCCATGAATTCGATGCTCATCCTCCACTCGAAGAAGATGGGCTCGCTTCGTCTACTGACAAAGTTGACAGGAAAAAGAGACGTAACTCGATCATCAAATAATTGTGGGCATTGACATGATAAATTTAGAGCAGAGTGATGCTGCTGTTATGGGAGTTGGAGATTGGACTGACTGGTCACAATGCTCCGCCGCCGGTTAGTCAATTACATAACACTAATTTTTATTTATATAACGTTCTTTAGGACACGAAGTGAGATCTCAAGTTTGTGAATATGGTCGCAAGATTCAACGCAGAGGTTGCCCAGCGCGACAAGCTCCGCAGAGAATTCCAGCACCACCAGCGCCACAGTTCCCAGCGCCGCAATATCCAAATCATGCTTTGCAACAACAACAGCAACAACATCAGCAAAGAGAACTTCAAAGGCAACAGGTACTATTGAAAAGTGATTTGATTTAAATGCGTTATATCGTTAGCAATTGCGCCAACAACAGCAACAGCAACAGCAGCAGCAACAACAGCAGCAACATGACCAACATCAACAGCGAATGGAGCAACAGCGGCGCGAACAGCAGCAACGTCAGCAGCAACAACTGCAAATTTCTGGACAATCGCAAATTCAGCTTCAATCGGGCCCCGTCCCACCACCAGTTCAGCCACAACAACAGCAGCCACAACTCGAGAGATCTCCGCTTGATCAGCATGCTCAACTTTACCAGCAGAGAATGGCTCAATACAGAGAGAATTACAACCAACGCCATCCAGCTCGCCCCAAAGCTGACCCATGTCCAGGAGGTGTTTGCGCTCCACCACCGCAACGTCCGACTCCACCACCAGTCCTCGCCCCAGTGATTAACACCGCCACTCAACCGCCAATTCCGCAGCCATACCCAACTAGATATCGCCCTGCTCCGCCACCACCACCAGCGTGTGACGGCCAAGGATGTGTTGCCCCACCACTTGTTCCAGGTTGATGATAACATCAAAAATTTATTTATAATTCACTTTTAACTTACAGGAAATTGGCATGACTGGTCCGAATGGTCTTCCTGCTCATGCACTTGTGGAGATGGAGCTAAATCGAGACGACGTGAATGCGCTACTAACAACTGTCAAGGACCGGAATATGAAACGGAACCATGCAATCTTGGACCATGTCAGACATGGTCGGAATGGTGCGAGTGGTCAACGTGCTCGGCTAGCTGCGGAGCCGGAGAACGTCAGAGAACTCGCTTCTGTCATCTTGGAACTAATCGTTGCGAAGGAAAAGACTTTGAAGTAGAATATGCTCAAATTAGCCACTAGAAATCAATTCAATTTCAGGCTGAGAGATGTTCATCAGGACCATGCCCTGAATGGTCAGAGTGGGAAGATTGGGGACAATGCTCCGTCACTTGCGGAACAGGAGTCTCAGTCAGACAGCGCACATGCCTCGGTGGTGTCTTCGGCGATCATTTGTGTCCAGGACCAAAGACTGAACAACGCGTTTGTGAACCTGGACCATGCTCTCTTTGGTCGCCATGGCAGGAATGGTCTGCTTGTTCGGCTAGCTGTGGAAATGGAATGAAGAGACGCCAACGTGTATGCCAATATGGAACTGATTGCACAGGACCAAATGAGGTGGTCGCACATTGTTATGCCATTCAATAATGAATTTTGCAGGAAAGCTTGTTCTGCTACGGGCCACCATGCGCTCAATGGACTGAATGGTGCGAATGGTCTGGTTGCAGCTCGAAGTGTGGGCCAGGACAGCGTACAAGAACCCGTGGATGCTTGACCCCTGACGGAAATGAAGCTACCACCTGCTCAGGATCAAGCATTGAAACCACAATTTGCGAAGGAAACAATTGCTGCAATTGGTCAGAATGGTGCCATTGGTCAATGTGTGATAAAGAATGCGGTGGAGGACAATCGATCCGTACAAGAACCTGTTTGAACAGCGCTGGAAGCCCGGATAGCGCGTGCCACTGCGATGGAAGCGATAGAGAAGAGAAGCAATGTAACACTCAAAGCTGCGCTCCGCAATGTGCCTGGACTCAATGGTTAATTCGAAAACATGATTATTAATTGCTTCATTCTGTTCAGGTGCGAATGGAGTGCTTGTTCGACGCAATTGGAATGCGAAGTTGGAATTCAATCGAGAAATCGTCAATGTGTCGGTGAAGCTGGATGCCACTGCGTCGGACTTGCCGACGAAACTCAACAATGCCGCGGAACTACACCATGCGCAACCAAAGCCCCATGTTAATTGAAATGTTGCATTTACAAAAAAAAAGACACCAACTTGCGCAGGGTTTCTTGCTTATATTTATGATCAATTTATGAACTCCCTTTCTCAATAATAGAAGTATCTCCCAATCTAGTCATGACAAAGTTTTATTAGCGAAATATTGCATTATTTTTCAATTCTTCATTTTTTGTAGGTGCTGTTTGTTATGAAATAATACTACTCCCTCACTGCCTCATAATAAATCATTTAATTATTATTTTAAAAAAATTAAATAAAATTGTACTTTAAAATTTAAAATCAAATGTAGAGTTTGAAAAAATTCAAATATAGAATTGGAGTAAACGTTTGTAGCCATAAGGAGTATAAAAAGCAAGCATCAGATGTTATGAAACATGCATGTAAAAAATTTAATACTCTTATTGATAATATGCAGCATTTAAAATAAGTCTCAAAAAAAAACTAATCAAAAAAGTCCATAAAACGCGTAAAATCAATATGTAGATCAAATTTTAAATTTAACCAGTTTATTGCATTTTTTCAATATTTGCATAGTACCGTAACCACGATGCCAGAGTTTTCAAATTGCAAATGATGAAAATAATTTATGTTCACATTCAGCGGTTTAAAGGTCACTTCCGCCTCCCAGTTGAAAATAATCCAGTGGAAAAATATTCGGTCCATGAATATTTATAAACGGAATCAAACATGTCTAGAAAAATAGGAAATGATTATAATGATGTATTTCTCGGTGTGCTGAGTATTTGTAACAAAATTAGAGAAGAGCTCTTAATGTGTAGACTAACATACTATTTACCAGCATAGGTTAAAGTCACACTTCTAAGCCCTTCAAAAATCTCAATTTTTGACATTGTATCCATTGTATGTTCGTTGACAGTCCTCGTTGGCTATAGATCATTTCGTTTTTTCATAAATTTTTTAAATTTCAATAATACGATGCCAGAAATTATACTGTTAAAATAAAATTTAAAAATGATATTCCCGCCAATATTGTCAACGTGTGGTTCAATTTACCACCGGCGCGTTAACTTCGAATTTGATTATTTTACGAATGAGAACATCGGAATCTTTATTTCATTCCTATTTTGATGTTCACAACAATGATTGACTCGAACAGCGACAATGAAGTGCAATTGCATATAATTTATTGATATAATTGAAAGTTGTCATATCTCTTTTTTTCTGCCAAACCATCGCAGGTTTTTTTTATTACAGAAAATTCTATTTAAGCTCACAAACACACATTCCTTTCGTTTTTGTGGACAATCAAATTTGTGCAGCGGGCCCGGCCCGCGAAAAAAAAACCTCAAGTTCTTCTTTTTCTTTTACTTTTATTCCAAAGAATTGGTAAGTTAAAGTTTTCAGAAAAAATATGAGTTGTAGAATTTCTTACGTGTACAAAGATTAGGGAATTGCCTCGATGAGTAATATTTTAATATCCCTATTCTATGTAGGTATAATCCGTTTTATGACTAACAGATTCATTCAGTATCCATTCGAGAATTACTATATGCGGTATTTTTGCACAAATCATACAAAAACCGTACACTTTTAATAATATTGCCCTCTTCGTCAAGTGCAGTTTGACTAAATTTTTTTTCGCTGCAAAGACACCATTCGCCAATAATCAAAAGGCACACGGAACATGTAGTAAACACCGATGTGCGATTTTTTATTGTAGAGACATATGTTCCGCCAATTTGATCCGAATTTTTGACGATCTTCAAAAAAAAACCCATGAAAATTTTGGGGTTTAAAATGAGATCCCTATCATCTAGCGAACCGGTCGATGTTTGTTTGCTTCCTTATTTATTTTATTGATTCTTTATCAACCCTTTTTTCAAATTTTGTGTTCAACATGGTGACTCAAAATTAAAATTATTTGTCTTGAGGTATTTGCATTCGGGAACCATTAAAACGAGTAAACCAATTCAGTACAAAAACCATTTTTTTCCAAAATTTGATAAAACTTGTTCCATTTCCGGTTTTCAAAAAAAAGGTTGCAGACTTTTTGGAACCATTTTCATCAGCCGAATTAAGTGTTCCACTCATCACCCATTTACTCAATCGTTTTAAAACGATTTGTCTTGATGAATTATTGGTGCCAACGACAACATATGTTGTTCCTCAAATACCTCTTTTTCATTGTGTTTTTTCTCCCAATTTCCATCAGATTATCAGCTCCAGCGTGACCTTCAATCATTCTCTTTCACAATATTATTGGTTCTGCAGTCAGTCTGTGTGTCTGTGTGTGTGTCTCATATTAAATCTCGCCACTCATCATCTTCCAATTCTTTTCGGTAAAACAGACACCAAGTGTGAGCTCTTATCCATTATTATTATTGACAAATTTTCAGCTAAAATGAGGTTCTTCTACCTTTTTATGGTGTTCTTTCAAGTCAACGTATCAACGAGTGAAATCAAAATGCTGCTAGCGGTTTGGAGGCATGGAGATCGTGCTCCTGAAGAGAAGCCTTATCCAAATGATCCATACAATGAGACATTTTGGCCAAGAGGATGGAATCAACTAACAAATGTTCGTATCGTTTTTCATCATTCAATGAAATAATAGAATTCCAGGTAGGAATATCTCAAGCAACAAAACTTGGAGTATTCCTCCGTCGTCGATATCGAAACTCGGTCATGCCGAAATTTGATAGAAAGAAAATTCAGATTATTTCATCCGATGCAGATCGGGCAATCGAGACAGCACAAAGTGTGGCTTCGGCATTATTTCCACCAATTGGTGAACAAAAATGGACCGATGGAAAATTTCAATATTGGCAACCAATTCCAATTCGAACAAATGGCAAAAGAGATCCAGTATTGAAAATTTTGTGTATCAGAATGAAAATATTTCTCTGATTTCAGATGCTGCGTCCCAGTAAAATTAATTGCGCCAGGTATCAATTGCTAGTGGCAGAGAATCGAAAACAAATCGAAACCGATACCAATTCACGGTTTATTCTGATTTTGATTACCTTCATATGTTCTCGTTCTATTTGTAGGTATAAGAAAGAACTCGAAATTATTTCAAATCGGACTGGCCACAATGTCACCTATGCCAATATCAAAGATGTCTACAACATAATGCTTGAAGTAGAAACGAAACTTTATGAGCACGACTTTAATTATTTCATTTCAGCACTATAATGGACTTCCATTGCCAGAATGGGCATCTGAAATAGTGAATGGTGTTCCGCTTCTAGACACAATTTTAGAAATTCGTAAAATCGCTAGATTACAGCTTTTTAACACTAAAGAAAAGGCAAAATATATGTAAACAGCAAATTTTGGCTAAAAAAACAGAATTATTTTATTATTTCAGGGCTGGATTCTTGATAAACTCTTTCGCACAAAATTTGATTGAAGCTTCACAAAACAAAACGCAGAAAAAAGCATTATTGTATTCATCAGTAGGAATTTTTCAAAAGAAAAAATGCACAACAAATAAAATTAAAAAATTTTTAGCACGATGGTACATTAAATGCTCTGATGTATGGGCTTAATATTAGCAATCATCAGCTGATGCCATATACTGCGTGCCTAATGGTTGAATATCACACGGATGAGACTGTACACGTAATTTTATAGATATTTGCAAAAAAAAACGTTACATTTTTATGACTTTATAAACCTGCTAGAATTTAGATCCCTCATGATAAAGCGACTATTCAGCAATTGTATCTTTATTTTTAAACTTTGCAAAAAATGTTAATAATAAGAAATCAATTTCAATGGTATTATTAAATTTTGTTCGCAAAATGTCCAGGACAGCAGCATTTTCTATAAGAAAAGCTGCCAGTTCAAACAATTTTTGGATCCCTGGTTTGAAAAAATTGCAACGTTTAGATATTCTTCCGCAACACAACCACAGAATCACCAGAAGACGTTCATCAATTAATCATTCCTGGGTGTACTGCTGCGTGTCCCCTTCCCGAATTTTTGAGTTTAATCGACAATATGCGAATTCGATCTGTCGAAGAATTGGAACAAGTCAATTATATACTTTTTCAATTCGAATTTCATTATTTAATTACAGATTTGCAATGCGTTCGACGCGCGGAATATGTCAGTTTTCATGGTCATTTGCATAATTCTTTTGAAATTGTTTCTATAATTTTCCCTTTCATTCCAATACATACTTACTTTTTTTTCTTCATTTCTTTTTTTGATATTCGGGTGTTTTATTAATAAAGATTTTGATCTGCAATAAATCTCGATTATTGTTCCATATGTCACGAAGTAATGAGCTGCAGAAAGATGGGTGCGACGAAATTTTGAATGACTCTATCTTGCCGAACAAACTTTTGTGGGGGCCCTGAGAAAAAGATAAAGATGAGGCAATAGCCTTACAACACCTCACGGGTGGATATTCCGCCCGCATGCGTCTGCTTCTCTCAATTCCTCTATTTCTCGTAATTTTGCGATTATAAACTATGCACATTATTATCCTTGTAACCAGGCATGCGATAATTTTTCATTTTCAACAATCCGTTAATTGGCCGCTCTCCAAATCGCTCGTACTTGTTATCCACTTGAGAATAATTCGTTCCATTGTTCGCAGCTCAAGTTCACAACATGTTGGGTGCAAAATCAGAGCAATGATGTTCATATACTGACACACTTTATGTATATATATTTATAGAGGGTGGCCGGAAATTATCCGGACTATATAAAGAACAATGTATTTTAATAGATTCTGATATTTGTATTACCGAAATTTTATACAAGTGAGTGAAAATATGTAAATAATACCAGCTTGAAGCAAAATTATTTCAACAACGTTTATAATCTAAGTGGAGAAGCTTGAAACTTTATTCCGGGTGACTTTCGGCCAACCTGTATATATAAGTAACGAATTTTACAAAAACATGTTTTTTTTTTAAATTTACTCTAATTATCGCTACTTTTTCTGCATCAATGTCTGTATTCGCATTTTATAACATATTTCAATGTAAATTAGAGATCAGATATTCTCAAATGTAATATCTTGGCATTGAAAAATGCTAGTTTCGATTCTACCCAAATTTTCGCCAATGCTCAATTCATTGGAAGTCGCGTTCATTTTCTCATTGTCATCGGCTGTCCGAAGCGCATTCAATCTTGTTCAAAATGCCAATTTCAACAATCCGCGACGGGCACCATGGGTGGTCATTGCTTATACGACTAAGTGTGTTTCTTTTAGTCGAAACTCGCCGTGTTCAATGCGCCGTCGGACGTCGTTTATGCACACGACACCGTGAAAATTTACGACCATTTTATCTATTCAATTCCAATTAGCCGCTTTCCTCCATCTCATCATAAGCAACGCCTTCGAGAATGAAAGTTGAACGTGGCTTAATTTAATTTTATGATAGTTTTGGCCTAATTGAAATTTACCACACTCTTCTTGTTCGTTCGTACTCAAATTTTCAATTTTCGTCAAACTCGAACACTGGAAATTGTTTGGTTCTACTTGGACTATCGCTTCAATTCTAGTAATAGCGTCACAGTTATGAAAGGATATTATGCATCAAGTTTGAACGAGCAAATTGAATTTATTAAGTTACGAAACACTATTTTAATTCCATTCTAGTCGTTTTAAAGAAACCGAATCTATTGGTTCTTTTAATAGTTCGAACTTTGGAGAATTATCTATAGCATTTGAATATGCAAACATTATAATTAATGTGGATTTTCACCGTAATTTCTTTCACAGTTTCTTTATTTTTTTGGCATTTCATAATTGGTAACGTAAACCCCTATAATTTGCATATACATTTCCTTTTCTCTCAACTTTACATTTTCCGATCTCTAGTACGATTCAGTTCCCATTTCAAATTCGCATTGCGCAATTTCAATTCATTTGTTGCAATACAAAAGACGTTCTGTGAAAAAAAATTTCAAAACAAAAGTTTTGCGAGCGTCTCCAAGACATGCCATGAAAGCAAGTGCATACAGATGGTACTATTGATTCAATTCATTAGGCGGGGTTGCGTCTTCGGGATGCATACAACGAGCTCATCCGCACTAGCAGACACCGCCATCAAAGAAGCACCGTTGCATGAATACAAATAGAAAAACAACATGCTCTACATCTATGCTAATCCGTAGTGCGTTCATTGTTTGTCACCAATAATTCCGGCAAGCCATTGTATGCTACCAGTCTTGCTTCCCTCCCATCACGTCCCTTGTGTGCCATCATCTCTTCGGGTTCTTCAAAGGAGAAGTGGGGCGTCAACCTTATATTTAATTAAGGCGTGTATACCCAACCTCGATTAACTTTTTGTGCGCGGTGAGGTTATTTCGGCTAACCTCCACCTGTTCCTATCGGTTTCACGCTTTTTTCTCGTCAAAAATTGAATGTTTCGCGCGCGGGCGATGCGTCCCATAACCAAGGTCGAATGAGATGGTGTTTCGGCGCCACCTGCACGAATCCATCCAGGACTCGACCAGCGAGACATCTGCACCCCTTTAATTTGTCTGTTGCCAAGTCGTTCCAGTTGGAATGAAACAACTAGTTTTTTTTTTCACATGCAATTGCCGGGAAATGGTATCGCATTCATCCTAATGAGCAGAAGAAAAAATAATTGAGTTATTTACTCTATAGAACATAATCGCATAGAATGGAGTAAATAATCTAATTATAGCTTTACGCAAACCTGGTGTACACTTCTAAACATTGTACGCACTATTTCTAGTTTTAAAATATTCAAAAATGATTTTCCTAATTACTGTAATTGCTTTACACAACTAATTTGAATAACCAAAAAGAGCAGAGTGTCGACGTCAAATAATTATACAAAGTCGCATCCCAACCGAATATCTGCTTACAAAACAAACATTCTCGGATTGGAGAGCGGGAAATACAAATCAATCAAAAATTATAATTGAATTTTCATTTTTGCCATACATCGCTTTATTCTACTACTTCTCCATTAAAAGAAATTTTTCATAGAAATTGAGGAAAATTGTTCCCCTGCTGATTTAGATTATTAGTGTTGACAATAAATTGTGAAAAGGCATATTTCCAAAAGTCAACCTCTACTATTGTGTAGTATTTTCTGCGTGAACGCCGCTGGGCTCATTGTGCAACGCATTATCTAATAATGTGTAGAGTCAAGCACTAGACAATGATTGGAAGGCCTGCATTGAAGATTCGCGCATGCTCACGCGCAGATTCAATTTCACAACTAGGTTACGTTGTTGTTTCCAGTCATAAACATAATGAAGGCAGCCGAAGGCTTCACTTTAATTTAAACTTGGTTAGCGCGTCACATGTATTGTCTTGTTGGTCCGCATTCTTCGGGATAAATATACATAATTTATCGTCTCAATTTCAATTCGTAATTAATTCCAATTGAAACCAGAAATGAATATGGTAAACATTTGACACCAATTGCGTGTTCTATTTGTCCGCCAATGTCAGTTCAAATTAATACCATTCGATCATTTGCAACCATCACATAATAATTCCTCGCGTGCTGTTTGTCGAAAAAATCGTTTAACAACGTCTTATCCATTCCATTTCATTTCTTTTCTAGTTGCGATATTGCTAATATAAGCTTATCAACTTCATATTTTCATAGCATTCATTTAATAATTTAATGAGTCTCTATAAGGTGAACATAAATATATTCCGATCAGCGAATTCGATTTGTAAATTTTCAGCTGTTAACTTTCACCTGTTGAATGTGAAAACGACAGAAAAACTAAACAAATTGATTTTTTGTGGATTTCTCAATTTTCAAAAAATAATGATATTGTATTAATTATCTACTTTGAGCATCCAAATATTTCATTTCTGAGTAGTTAAGGTCGCCAAAAATTTCTTTCAGTGATGATTTATAATTTTTTCACACGTGTCTTTCTAATGCAACAATTATCTGTGGTGTGCGATTCGTAAACCGTCGAGTTGCACCCTAGACACCAATAAACGATAATCTATACACGTAAATGTTCAGTTTCTTAAGAAACTCATGTTAAATTCGAATGCTCGCTCGCACGATGCATCGTTTTTTTTATGGTCGCGATCACAATTTCCCAACTGTACCTCTTGTTTTATGGCTAGAAATACCATTTTTTATTTATTACGATTTTATGACGGTCAGGTGCATCATTAATAATGACACGAGTCTCAAACTACTTTCTAAGGAATTGAGGTTAACAGTGCATTCATGCCTATTGTATTTACAAGCCATTAAATTTTTGTGGTTCGACTGCAGCTGATATGTGTATGACCCACGGATTGCGCAATAAACCGTTCGCTGCCCTCACCGTCGCTGCATCGTCTTTTTGGTTTACCTATTTGGAATGCTGTCATGCCTATCCATTTTCCTCCAATTCTTATCATGTTCAGTTTTTCTTCGTGTGATTTATTATCGCTGACGGGCACAGCGGGATCTTTTAAACTTTCTGGAACCTGCCCGTCAGCGGAAACATAATTAATCATATTTGCAATAACAGGGGATTAGCGAGTCTGTGGTTAGTAAGATTTCACGGTCTTTTGAGTTTCACTACGTTCTATAGTAAGGTGGTTTTTTAAACCTTGTAAGTCCCTACCACCTAATCACCATTTAATTACGGTCGCATTTCAAAAAATTCAACTAGCCTTTAATTAGACTTGTTTCCTCTTTCCATCCTCCCTTCATTCTTCTCATGCTTTGCAAACATCGTGTTTTATCATAGTAAAATTCTACATTCTTGAATGTATGTATTTGTACTTTTAAGTTGTACTGTTTGGGCGTGTGGTGGTTTTGAAAAGGATGATTAAGAATCAAAAGTTTCGACCGGAAAACCCGCCGCCATGAAAAGTTCAAGTGGTGGTACGCGTCGAAAATGCAATAAATTTGTACAATATGTCAAACACGGAGAAGCGAAACGAAATTGTACTGAAAATTTGGTGTTCGCGGATTGAATGTTTCATGCGAATCACATTAAACGCTCGTTGAGGATGTGATCGAGTGTGACAAAGTTGTTGTTGTCCGACCGTAATCCAGGAGGAAAGCCCCACATACTGTCCAGTAGACGATTCGGCACCATTTCTATTGGTGATGCGTGTTTGCCGTACGGACTAGTGCATTGACCATGACTCGCAGATCCCTCACTAGATTTCTCCAACATATTGCTCATAATCTC